TGTTCTTCGGAACTACCTTTGGTTTACCCGTTTGATAAGCATGCTAGTTCGGTGTTTAAATGCTAGCGTGTGTGTTGTTTGTACCTTCTTAATGGTTGATGATAACTTGTGTTATTCATCCTTGTTGTTGTTGGGCTGTGACCCATTCCTTGATTGAGTATGGTTTCATATCTTCGTTGTGATCTGTTGATTGATTCCTGTTGTGGTGTGATGTGTGTGTGGCTTTACCTGGATTGCGCGATTAGTGGTATGGGACACTAGTCACCAAGGTATTGCAGCGGTCCTCGTGGTGGCCGTGACGTGATTATGGAGTTGTGGCCTTTGTGAAGGTTCACGTGATTCTTGGGTGGCATGTGTTGCCGTGTGTGTGTACGGTACCCTCATGTACTATGAAATTGGTGGTCTCGTTGGTGGTCGTTGGTGGGGGACGACGGTCCCAGGAGGGAAAAGGTTGGACTAAGAAGTACAGGGGTCCTGGAGGTAATGGTTGGAAAGAAGATACAAGGTTGGGGGTAGCCATAAGGTTGGAACCGGGCATAAGGAAGGCATATCAACTCATGATGGGTGATGTCACGAGGGCTTGTGTAGCCATTGTGGTGAGTTCTTCTCTTGTGACGTGTGTAGTCACAAAGGCATGTGTTGCCGTTGGGTGAGTCTTATTCCTTTGCGTTGTGCTTGTCGGGTTTTGATCAATTGAGTGATGATAGATCATGCCTTGACTCTTCTTGTGAGTCATGTTGTTCCGTGTGGTCTTGGGATGTGTTCCCGAGCTGTTGTTGAGAGTGTTGAGTCTTGTGTTGACTATTGCTCTTGGTTTTATACTTATACACTTATGAATTCCGTTTCGAAAATGGCTTTACAATTTATATCTTACTTATGTATGTTATTTCACATGTATTGGTGGGTTACCAGAATTATTCGCTGACCGGGCGTCGTCCCATGTTTTATTATGTTCTTTCAGGTGATGTCTAGGCGAGTGCGCAGTCTAGTGCCTGTAGCACAGCTTCTCCCGTTGGTTTTATGGCCTGTGTGCCGCTTTCGTTGTAGACTTTGGTGACTTTTGGATAGTTGTAAACAATGCAGATTCAGCCGTAGCGTTCATCTTTGTTGGTGAACGTGGCATAACACCCCATGACTTGGATTTTTATTTATCCAGTTACCTTTTAGTCTTCCGCTGTGTTTGTTGTTTAGTTGTGTTATCTGCATGTTTTAAGGTTTTAATTAGCCTGTTTTTAGGGGGTGTTACAGCCTTGGCCCGAGACCCTTTTTTTTTTTCATCGGGGGTGGTACGCGAGGTCCGGCCTCGTGCCCCCTCGGGGTGTGATAGTCGATCTATCCTAGCTCGTTCGAGCCTAGGTACTCGGGCTCTTCCGTCGGGGTTGGTACGCGAGGTCCTGCCTCGTGCCCCCGTAGGGTGTGATAGCCGATCTGTCCTGGCTCGTTCGAGCCTAGGTACTCGGGCTCTTCCGTCGAGGTCGCGAGGTCCTGCCTCGTGCCCCCGTAGGGCGTGATAGCCGATCTGTCCTGGCTCGTTCAAGCCTACGCACTCGGGCTCTTCCTTCGGGGTTGGTACACGAGGTCCGACCTCGTGCCCCCTTAGGGTGTGATAGCCGCTCCGTCCTGGCTCGTTCGAGCCTAGACACTTGGGTTCTTCTGTCGGGGTTGGTACGCGAGGTCCGGCCTCGTGCCCCCTTAGGGTGTGATCGGGGGTATGAATTGACACCCCCTCCCAAACATGTCGAAAATACCGTAGAAAGAAAATTGTTCATACTTTATTACAAAAAGAAACACGGGTGTGGCACATCTCCTGAAAGGTAAAGAAACTCGAAATGGAATAACTGGTAATATCGTACTAAGTGTTCCGTGTTCCACACCCTGGGGATCGCCTTGCTTTTAAGGTTCTTGAGCTTGTAGCTGCCCGGGCGAACCACCGGCGAGACGATGTATGGTCCCTCCCATTTAGCAGCGAATTTGCCCCCCGCCTGGAGTTGACTTGCTTCCCTGTCCCTTAACACATAGTCCCCTACCTGGAAATGACGGGCTTGATGCGCTTGTCATAATAGGTCTTGGTTTGCCGTTGGTATTTTCAGCTCGTGCGGCCACCGCCTCCCTCCTTTCATCCACCAGGTGGAGGTCGGCGCGGTGGTGTGCGTCGTTAGTGTCGGGCTCGTACTCTTCTGCCCTGCACGAAGGTATGACTGCCTCGGCCAGGGCTCGGGCCTCGAAGCTGTATGCCAAAGAGAAAGGGGTTTCGCCCGTAGCCTTTCGGGGGTGGTGCGGTAGGCCCAAAGGATGGAGTCCAACTCTTCCACCCACACCCATCCTGCGGATTCAACTCTCTTCTTAAGGTCGTCCACGATGGTGCGGTTAGCGTTCTCCACTTGCCTGTTCGCTTGAGGGTAGCACACGATGATGCGGCCCAACATAATGAAGATCCATCAAGAGTACCAATTGGGCCAATCACAAGGCCCAAGTCCAAACGATTAAGACAACTCTTCATTGGTGATATTCAAAGATGGTGGAAATCCAAGTCAAGCCCATTTGCAAAAGATGAAGAAGAATTCAAGGCTTTTTATAATTGTTTAAGTGCTGATTTTGGTGATTAAATTAGGCCCAAATCAGCTCTATTATTTTTTGTCATCATTAATTTAAATTGTTTGGCATAAAAGAGAAAACACCAGTTGTATTTAGAAAGGATTCCTTAAATCCTTTTCTAAATAAAACTCTATTTATTTGTTTTCTAGATTAGGTTTAGGACTCTTTTTTCCATTGTATTTAGAATTATAATGCTGCCCCTATACCTATAAATAGGGCACATCCATATCAGTTTTAAACATGCTTTAATTCAATAAAATTCTTAAGTTTTTCTTTACACTTGTGTAAGAAACCTTACGGCTAATTGTGGACTCAATTAGTGGCTAGTCGTGGACTCGACTAGCAAATTGATTCGTGGACTCGAATCAATCTTATTTTCTTCAACCTTAGATTTAGGTTCGTGGACTCGCTCTTGAATCGAAGGAAACTAGATCCGACTCCAGTTGATTGAAGATTGTAACATCGAGGTACTAGAAGCTACAATGAGATTCTTCCAAGTCTTTGAGGATTCGAGACAAAAGGTTTCTCGTGAGGTTTAAGGTACTTTGATCCATCTCTATCCTTACTTTTGAGAGCATTCTTGGGACAATATTCCATCTTTATTTGAACCTTGGACTAGGTTCATATCACACGACCACCCGACTGTGGGTTATGCGCCATTCGGCGCAGAATCTCTCGAACTCCTGCCCCTCGAATTGACGTCCATTGTCAGTGATGAGCTGTATCGGGACCACGAAGCTGCACAAAATATTTTTGTACACGAAGAGTTTGCAGCGGGCGCTTGTGATGGTTGCCAGCGGTTCCGCCTACACCCATTTGGTGAAATAGTCCACCGCCACTATTAGGTACTTTTGCTTTCCCGACCCCATATGTAAGATGCAAAATACTCTATAACATGCTTCTAAACCATGTATATAAACCATAGAATACTCAAGGATATAATATCATGCTCGGTTTGCAACATAGCAAATTCTATAGATTTCTATCAACAAAATATGCTTCAATTCTCATTGATCAAATATCACATCTTAGTTATGCTTTCATAATAAATCATATTCTCAAATGATCATGCTACTCTACTCAATAAAAAAAATAACATCAGATCACATAGCCAAGTATTTCTCATACACAGAGAACTTAACTATATATGTACTGTGTTGCAACTTCTTCAATAAATCCCTCATAACACACTCATTTTTTATCAAAATTCAACGAAATCAAAGCCAAAACGTGCTTCGAGACGATCCTGAGGTACCGAGCAACAAGGGCCCATGACACTTGGCCCGAAACGACACGTAGCTGAGCCACAAGGGCCCGGCCACTGCACAAAAACTTCTCAGATTAATACTCAGGGACCTGGGGCGGGACTCCTCATGAGCCGCCCCATGTGTCCCGTTACATTACCGGGCCTAGGCAGTGGCCCTCTCCTAGGGCCGTGCCCAAAACCCGGGTAACCCCGGCTCTAGCCGCCGGCCCTTCTGATGGGCCGCGGCTAGGGCCGCTGGTCTGATCTGGTGCATGCTGTGTGTGCACCAGATGGTATTTACATCTGCAAAATCAATCCAAACAAGTCCAAAACATTCTCAACAACTCAAAGACAAATACTAGATCACTTCCAAGCATAAACACAACAAAATCTCATAATTTCTACTCATTTCTACTCAATATCAAAGGCTTCACAGAGCCAAAATCAAATAGGGAGTCCATGGGGTTATACCTCTTGAAGCTTCTTCTTCTTGTATGGATCTCTCCCTCCTCTCTACTCAAACACCATCTCCTTCACCACCTAAAAATCTCAAACACAAACAAGCCAAGACTAAGAAACCTTAGAGATTGAAAGCTAAATAGAGAGGAAACCTTAAGATGAATGGAAATGAAGGGAGAAAGCTTACTGCAATGTTCTCTTGCTTCTATCAGACAAAGGCTTGGAGAGAGGCAAGGTTGGAGATCAAAGAATAATAAATGAATAGTGTTGTTTATATAGGGTGCAAAACCCTAGGTAGAAAGCAAATGATTGGGTGAGAACAAAATGGTAAAAGCTTGGCTAGATTATGTTCTCAGGCAAATGCTTCTTGGAATGATGTGGTTCACCTAGCATCATGAACCAAGGGCTAGAAATGTTATTTTAAATACTTTGGGGTTGAAAATGAATTTTCTCAAAAAGTTATCCAGATGAACCCTTGTTTAAAGTCTTTTTGAATTCTCCCGGTTTCACTCAGATTGATTTCTAGATTTAAAAATTGATACACGAAGTACCCGAAAATTTAGGATTTTGGGATAAAATAAGTTTTGGTGTCGAATTAATTTAAAATGTGACAAAAATAATTTATTCAAACACCAATTGATCGCAAAAAAATTTTAATGGAGTTAAAATGGCTATTTTAGAATTTCTTAAAATTGGATTTATAAAATAAACTTTTGGGTTGTTACATGAAGTTCTCTTCATCAATGATCTCAAAAGCATCTACTGGGTGGGTTTGACTTCTTCTTGTTGCATCAACATTTACACTTGTCTTCCTTCCACAATTGTGGATCTTCAACCGTGGTCTCTAAGCTCTAATCACTTCATTTTCTTCATATTTGTCTCTAGTTGCACGAAGATTCACTTCAATCCTTGAGGTTAGCTTAGATCTTGTGGGCAATACTGCACGAGCTATGATGCCGATCATTTCGAGCAAGGACAGCTACAACTGGCTCCAAACTGCAAGTAAAGTAACCTTCTTCATCACGTTCTTCAGTTGACTAGATATGCACGCTACTACTCTACTTCTTCGCAACAAAAAGGTCACACTACTTCTAACTTTCTTTTCTCAAAAACAATGATCACACAAGTAAAACACATAAACAGGATATTAACATAACTCTTATACTTATCACATTATCAACTTTCACGTACTTTTCAATTTTCAACTTTTAACTCTTCAACTTTTCAAGGGTAACAACAAGGCTAAACGAGGCAACTGTTGAACTAACAACTTGAATTCACCAGATAGGTGTACACTTGATTTGAAGGAAATTGACTCCACAGAAGACGAAAGTAAGAGGTTTCTAAATTTGAAACCCGAGAGTACTATTGGTTACAACCAAAGTCTTGATTATCAATGTCACGATTTTCCAAGATTCAACAAAGTCTTATGAAACAAAAGTTGTGGATCGAATTCCAAGAGAAGGACAAAACAAAGAATAATCTCATTGAAATAACTCAATACTAACGGATTCCAAATAAAGATGCAATAAGGATTTAATCTCAAGCAATAGATCAACACTAGTGAATTCCAAAGGAAGATATAAAAGAGAGATGATCTCGAGGCATTAGCTCAATAGCTCAATAATAAGAGAAGAATACCACAATGGACGATCTCAAGACAATAGCAACAAGATCCGAGAGTACAAAAAGGACGCATAGTCAACAGAATAGCTCTTCAAGAACAAAACACTTTCAAGAATACTCATCAAATATACGCTCATAGGAATAACTCAAAAAATTCAGATTACAATGGCAAAACAACAACGATCAGGTCTTGACTCAACAACTCAATAGATTCCAATAATATGGATTCAAGGATAATAAGCTCAAATCAAAGACAATGAGATTCTAAGAATAAGGCTTTCAACAAGACCTTACTAGCTTCAAGATTCGATTATACTAGCATTGCATGTCAATGAAAGTTTACAAGAATACTTAGAAAGAATTTATAAGCATTCTAGATACAGATTCAACAATAAATCGTGGAATGTCAAGAATAGACATTAGCAATAAATCAAGGATCAACTCAATCAAAACAACTTCTCATACTCAACTCTAGACATTAGATAGCTGCGATAGACATTGAAAGCAAACTGGAAGAAATCAGAATAACTCAGGAATCAACAACAAACTATGAGAGGAAAGCGTAAGCTCAAGCTCGACAGTACAAATTCAAGAATTATCATGCCATCAACAACAAGGAATTTAGAATAGAAGATTGGCACAATGAGCACAACAAGATACTCAAGAATTAACTGCTTTTAACTTTCCTTTTATTAAAGCAAGGCTTACAACAAATAAGGCACATAAACAAGAAACAAGTATAAGCTCTTATACTTTTCACATTAGCAACTTTTACAAAACTTCCACTTTCAAACTTTAACTTTCAAAGTATCAACTTCTAGCTCTCTTAGCTTTTCACTTTCAGCTTTCACTTCTACTTCTCTTCTTTACTTACAAAAGATAAACAAGCTGCACTTTAAACACATTGATAAAGCACATAAACAGTTAAACAAACGCAAGGAAAACTCACAACCACACCGCGTTCCTAATTGATACTTAGAGTTTCTCTTAACTCTAATTCTCATACTTAATCACCGAACTTAGAGTCTTTCTCATCTTGGGTCTCATAACTTACGACTTCTTTCTTATCTCAAATTTCATAACTTAGGGCTCTTTCCCTATTCTTATCCTTCCTAGGATTTTCCTTAAGTTCATATTCTTGACTTATCCTACTTAGGGTTTCAACTTAGAGGTCAATTTCCTAATCGGTCCTTCCTATGATTTCCACTTAAAGTTTCTATACTCAATCCTAAGAGTCAAACTTCCTAAGTCTCCCACAGTTCGTACCGATCTGATACCAACTTGTAACACCCCACTTTTCTTAAACTTAATTACAATTCTAAAACCAACATTAACAAAAACTAAGCAGCGGATATACAATCTTAAATAATAAGCTAGTGGAAATGTCACTGCCACAACGACCTCTCCACGGTGATTGCACAGGCTAAAGATGGAACTAACTCATTAAACCAAACTAACATTCATATTACTTAACTTAAAGTCATTTGGGGGAAAAACAACCCGATGTCTAATCATCAAACTTGAACATCATAAGTCTACAAATCCATCAAAATAAACAACATGATAATATTAAGAGTTTAGACTACTAGATCTACTAAGCTAGTCTAACTCGATCATCTCTCAACCGATGGGCCCACCTGAAAGGGGTTTTGCAAAACAACACATAAACAAGTAGGAAAACACCCGTTAACACAAAGCTAAGTATAACCACACTCAACCCTGTAAAGTACTACAATATATACTTTGGAAAAACATTTGTTCACAACTCTTATCAAGCAATCTCAACACTTAGACAACTTTAAGATACATCACAGACTTTCTATATGCTTGCAACCTATATTATCAACAATCATGCTTCAAATATAAATAACTCATCAACATAAATATTCCAACACATACTTCTCATAACAAAACTCATCATAACGAACTCATGCTATCAATCAATTTCATACTAACAACCAATATGAAATTATCTTCATGCTTTCAAGATCACATCTTGCAAACTAGATATATAAGATATCAAAATGCAACTAAAGCAATCATGCCCAATACACAATCCCGATTAATCATACTCATTATGCAATCTAGTGCAAACATTCTCATTATGCAATCTCGTGCAATACTATACTCCAATGCAATCTTGTGCAATACTAAACTCAAATGCAATCTCATGCAATACTATAAGTATACTCAACACTCGCTTGTAAAATAGAATACTTTTCTATGGAGGTTTCTTAGAGCCACAAGGACTCGCTAGCTTTCTTTCTTTTCTTAGAGTCGCAATGACTCGCTTTCTTTCTTTCTTTTCTTAATGTCGCAATGACTCGCTTTCTTTACAAATGAACGAGGTAGGAACTTCACCGTATCATGAACGAACCTATCCGGGCACGGCGTCTAGCTGGCCTAATACTCATCTCATCAACCGAACCACTCTCTTGGTTCTATGCTCAAACTCTGTGGAATCAGGTATTGAACTATCAGCATGCAAACCCCCTGACCAGGATTCCAAGCCTGGCGGGCAGTTTCCAACCTCGTAACGTGAGAATACACCGTGTTACATGTACTGGGACCGCAACGTCCATAACTTTCATCCGAGAGGACATAGTCCAAACGGGTCCTCCGAAACAAGGTTTTCCTCACCATTGATTATATATATATATATATAGATATATCGGTCATGCATCTCATATATGCAACACTTAACTTATGCAAAAGACATGCACATACTTCTCAACTCATTCTCAAAGACAAGATAAAGATGCTCTACGTGGAATGAGATTTTTGGAAAATAATACTTAGGCTCACGTTGGCCACTTGTGCACTTTTAAAACATGATATACTTGGAATGCAATTTACTGTACAACATGCTTCAAATTAAATATCACAATGATCTCTCAAGAACACAACAACATGCTTGGTTTGCAACATATCAAACTCTGTATAATTCTACCATCAATATAGACCTCAAATTCCATTGAACATACAACACATTCTACTCATGCTTTCTAACAATTCTTATTCACAAGTGTTCATGCTTCTCTATTCAATACATACATAGCATCAGGAAAAAAATCAAGGCAAATTTCCAAAGGCAGAGAACTCAAAGAATACTATTGTGAAGCAATTTCATCTCTAAATCCATCATAACGTGCTCATTTTTAAACCAAATCGAACGAAATCAAAGCCAAAACGTGCGTCAAGACGACCCCGAGGTACCCAGCCACAAGGGCCCATGACACCTGGTCCAAAATGACACATAGCTAACAAGGGCCCGGCCACTGCACAGGAGAAACTCATGGACTATGGGGTTATGCACTTTATAGATCAAAAGCTCTTAGATTAAACCTTTCTCGGGATACATAGTATTTCCCAAAGTATATGATGTTAATAGCTAAGAAATTCTAGGGGAATAATAGAATAAGCTTCAAATATCTTTATAATCAAATATACACCACATACATGATTATATAAGTATATATTCTCAAAATCAAGTATAATATTTCCCCAAAACATATATGCTCATATATATAATTCTTAAAATAGAGCTTTCTTGACAAATCATAGATTTTGGTAGTTTAAACCCTTCTCAAACATATTTATGATTTTCTATAAAAAAAAAAAAACACTTTTAAATATAAATACCCTTCAAATCAAAATAATATAATATATACTCCAGGATAATTTCACAAAGATTGAAGTGGCTCAAGTGGAAGTAATTCTAATTTTTAAACAAGAGATTAGGGGTTCAAATCCCACCTTAACCAATTTTCCAAGTCAAAACCATCTTAGCTAATATTTAAAAGAGATTCGCTGCCCTGGGATTCGATCCCAGCCATAACAAAATGCACACTAGTTCTTTAACCAGTGTACTACAACGACCCTTGATAACTGATCTCGTGTAGATCCTTTACTAAGGTCTATTGGCTGGCTTCTGCTACTCTCTGCTTTCCTTCTCTTAACAACACTGATCAGATATTCAAACCCCACAAAATCACACAGTATATCTGCAACAAATAACTTACATTTCATCATTCTAAACAACCAAAATACATATACACACACTTGAACAATTAATCACGTAACTTAAGACAAAATACTAGATTTGGGAATCCATGGGTTATACCTCAAGCTTCAACCTCAAGAATTCTTCCATCTCCACCCTCAAGCCAGGTCTTCTTCTTTACCATCTCCATTTCTCAAGCAACAACCAACACAAACAAACACATCTTGCTTAGATAATCTCATCTTAGAAATAAGCTAACCAAAGAAAATGGGAGAAGATATTTTACCTAGTCTTGAACCCTGAGCTTGGGAAGAAAAAGAAGCTCCAAAAATGAAGAAGACGAAGATGATAGGGACATGTAGAGAGAGACACGAGAGAACTGCAGA